AATTGTATGTGTGTTGTGTATGTGGGTGTGTGTTGGTAAGAGTTCGACACTGCAGCAAGTATCTGCTACTTGGAGATCTTCAGAAATCTCTCTCTCTTTCTCTTTCTCTCTCTCTCTCTTTCTCTCTCTCTCTCTCTCCCTCTTTCTCTCTCTCTCTCTCTCTCTCTCTCTCTCTCCCCCTCTCCCTCTCTCTCCTGTCAGAAAACATGGGGCTCTGTCATTTGCTCCAGTTATGCCCACCACATTGCAGAATCTTCACATATGCAGTGGCACTGCAAGTTCTTATTCACTTATTTTTCTTGGTGGATAGCTGGCTGCATTATTCATGACTTTACACATTTCAATCAAAATCAGGAAGCCAGCTGCCCCGGTCAGGAGATTGTTCCGCAGGTTTTGCGTTCATAAATCCGTCAGCTATACCCACACACGCATGGCCATCACTTCCCGCCATGAGAGGAATGGAAGTCCATTAAAAAGTGAATGAAGCCGTGCATTCTGGCTGCAGTGTGGTAAACACAGCAGGTTTGGTGGTGGGTATATGACTGATGCAATGATGTGTATAGCGAGAGGCTTTGTGAAAGTGATAGGGAACAGCACGCGTTTGCTCAACCCACGTACTGCCTGGCTACGTCGCCATAGTAACCAGGACTAGTGCCAGAGCGCCGACATTTGGTCAGGTCCAAATGGGCGGAAGGTCGGGGTCTGATAGGATTGTGAGAATGTGGATTTAGGGGGTGGGGTTGGGGTGGAGGGGATGAATAAAAAAACACACACCAGCCCAGCACTGCACTTTACTCACTCCACCTACAGAATGCAACTATGTGTAGTCTACAATAACCTTTATAAGTCTAGACCTATTACCATTTTTTTGTAATTGTGCATAGTTAATTATGCAATGAATTCCATTTACATTGTATTTACATTCTATTTTGCCAGGTTTTTTCTGTTTATTCCATTGTCAAAGTTTTATGAAAATGAAAAGCATGTATGCACATCAATAACTCTTCAGTATACCTCCTAAATTATCTGCTCTACATCTACAAACACCAACACTGTATTGATTGAAGCTTAGAGCTAACACTTGTTTGACTGAACTACAAATGAGAAATAATTGTATAGGATATAAATTTTAATGTTATTTTTTTCTCAGAGATCCATTTACGATGTATGTGTGGCAAAGAAGGTAATAATTAATTTTAATTCATAATTCATTTTCCAACCTCTCTTTATGCCTTAGAATTAAACAGATTTTTTTGTTAGTGTTCATTTAAGAGAAATATATGTAAACACCCTCTGTTCTGATTGGCTGCCTTGTATTGTGCCTCTTTTAAAAGCAGTCTCAGATAAAACACTTCAGCATGAATAATTTCAGGGTGAGTGGGCGGGGCTAAGCTGCTGTAGACTGTGGCATCACGAAAACAATTGAAATTTAGTTTTGTAATTTTGTACTTTTTTAATTGGTTCGGTTGGTTTCACACTGCAATGGTTGAAGTGCACCAAATAATACATGTGTGTGTTTGTTGGGTTCTTTGATTGGTCAGAAATTGGGTGGGAATACAAGCACACGGTTCATAATAAAAAAAAAAAATCAGATATTTCCCTCACTTATATTATTGATAAAAAGTATTTTTACACCCATCATGTTGCATTAAAATGACTCTCAATGTCTACATGTATCACAATCAGAGTAGTAAAAACAATCCTTGCTTGATCTTTACTTCATGACTGATGTGTGCGATGTCTGGTCCTACACATCAAAAACACTTTTCACAGTCCATGTGACAAAATCAAATGCTTTTGCTCATCTGTCGGTATTAGCAGCAGCTTATGCTGCAAGAACAATCAGTGTCTATGAACAGTCGTTGTTAAACAGGCAGATTATGCAGACAGTGAAGTGCTGGTGTGTTCTGAGAAAAACATGCTCTGATGTTGAATTCCCTTGTTTAGTGCAGATTATTGTAAAAATGTGTTCCCACCAGCAGCGAACTGAACCACAGTTCACTTAGAAGCAGACTTTGCAGACTTTCCACAATTTGCAGAAAATGGTTCAGTTGTTTAGTGTGGATTGAGTATGGCTTACACAGCCTCTGAAAGAATGTGATGCATTTTTAGGTACAAATCAGATGAGCATGACATACTATCAGGTGAGCACTAGATATTTTTAGGTGAGCACCAGATATTATCAGGTGAGCAGCACATACTATCAGATAAGCACCACACACTATCAAGCAAGCACCAGATATTATCAGGTGGGCACCAGATACTATAAGGTGAGCCCCGCATACTAGGAGGTGCGCACCAGATACTATGTGGTGAGCACCAGATTACATTTTTACCTAAAAAAATACACATATTTTGAGAGGCTCTGTAACAGCTGGAGTGTTCACACCTGTCAAAACAAACCAAACTAAAGAAAATTTGGATTGGTTCTCACCAAACAAGGTACGTGTGAAAGGACGTTAGTTTCCATATATGGGCTGTGTGGACTGGAGTGTGAATGGTAGATTTGGAAACATTAGCAATATTTACATAACAATCTCTTTAATCTACAAAAAGTGAGAAAAAAAAATGTTTTTCAATGATACGGGCCCTTCAAAGAAAAATTTAGAAGACATATTTCAAGTATAAGCCATGGTGTAGGTGAAAGTGATGTATTAGGTCTGACTGATGCTTGCAGTAGTTGAGGTTATGAACATGTTGTTAAACAGAACACACAGACCCTGATTCACCATCTCCAGCTGCACACGCTCTGCAGCACTGACAGGCAGCCATATGGAGGGAAGGAGTAGGATTAGCTGAGAGAGGGTGCATCATGTGTTTACAGAGATGTGTGCGTAAGCGCAGTGAGAGAGGGACGAGTGTCTCTGGGAGTCAGAGGCAGCGTCTGAACACACTGACGCTTTCACACACTTTGTAGTGTAATGTAATTTACGTAACAAAGCAAGATTGATAGACTATGGAGTGAGAGAACATGGTGCTGGTGTGGAGTGAGAGTCAGAAGCTGAGCAAAAGACATAGTGTGTGTGTTTGTGTATGTGTATATGTGTGAGTGTGGCTGAAGTGCTCTATGAGCGGCGACAGCATGGGGTGTCTTTTCTTTCAGACCCTCCTGAGCAACACAAAAAGCACAGGAGACCCTTACATAACACACACTCACATTCATGCACACATACCACAGGCCAAAGGTTTGGAAGCAACACTTGTACAAGAAATATGGGAATCTAATATGTTATAATGGACAGAGGTATGTTCAGTGTGTACCACAGGTCTGAAAAAACCATGCGGGGCTGAGGGAGGTTCTTTTAATATCAGAACTCTTCACAGTATTTGTTTACTTTTCAGGTATTTGAATAAGACATCACATACAGTCACATGCAAAAAGTCAGACACATAAATAACGTTTTGTTGATTTAAGTGAAAGTAAGTTATCATATCATCTACAAGAACCTTATTGCATTTTTCTGCAAATGTTCTTGCACAATTTCTGTTTATTTGCTGAGTTTAACATCTTGGAAAAAATAAAAATATAAAATATGAAATGTGCCATAACTTTTACTCAGGCTACATTTTATACTTTATTTTTTCCCTTAATAAGTTAAATTTAGTAAATAAACAGTAATTGTGCTTTAAAATGGGCAAAAATGTGTTCTCTGTAGAGGATGTGTATCTTCTTTTCAATCAAACAATCAACAAAACATCTCATTTAAGCAGAGGCCTTAAAACGTTTGCACACTGTAAGTAACTGCAAACTGTAAGTAAATGTAAAATCTTCCATGTTTTTGTTTTTAGATGTCAATCATCTCATAGACTTGGCTAAAGTGAAGATTTAAGTTGTGGAAATGACCACAGAGAAAAAGAATGATGCTTTGCATCAGTGTCACTCTGCATTCTTTTTTATTCATAACAGTATATATTAATACAATATTTATATTCATATTCATACCCTTTGAAATGTGTTAAAATGGGACAAAATATAATTAGGTGGCTGACAACATACTCTGGGGGGGGGTGACACCGCATAGCCTTGGGGTGTTTATTAATACAGAACAAAAGGGTTTGACTAAATACAACTAGCACATCTATAGTAACCTGACTATCAGAATTTTGTCAGTTCTGTTCTTATTGGCTATCTGCATGTCCATGTGCACACGTCTTTTGATCAGTCAGACAGGAAACACATTGTTCCAAGTAGTGGCACGAAAAAACTAGCCTTTCAGAGTGGGAGGTGGATGTTGGTCTGAATAAAGTTTATGGTATCACATATTAAAAGTTATTCAAAAGCTTTCCTGGAAGTGTTTAGTTTACTGATGCCTAGCAACTTGTTTCCTGCAATGTTTTTCCCTGTAATTGCCTGCTCCTTAACATAACCCTAAAACAGCAGTCTGTGGCTGGTCATGTTGTGCCTCACAGCCCGTCCCTGTCAAAGTAGGTGATTCTTGGCCATGTTAAGAGACAAAATGCTCCAGACACTCTCACGATAGGCAGTGTGGCTTGCAAGACGAGTGGACAACAGATACTTCATTTGTTTTGCTCCCAGTGATTCCTCTGCAGAGTTTTGATTTCCACCTGATTCTCACATTCAGATGCTTCTGAAGGCTTGACTAACTGAATAGCATATTAAAGCACAAGTTTACAAATAATTAAAAACTTCTCCATCATAAGAAAGACTGTAAAGGCCTTCTCCATATATAATTGCAAATGTTTGCAAATATATCGTCAATTTATCATCACTGTCGTAAAATGTTTTCCGAAAAACTGCTGAAATGGTATCTTTATAGAACAAGGAAAAAGATGTTAATGTATGTTAACGCTAAATAAAGATGTTTTATTTGTAGTAATTGTAGACCATTTTTTGTCAGTCCATGCATCATAAAACGTAAATAAAATCAGCAAAAGTGGAGAAGGTTTTGATATGACAAATGGAACACTCATTTGGTTTGGCTTGCTTCCATACTTTAGGTACACATGCCTCTGTAGTGTAAGCAGCTGGTGGTACTTACTGATGTGTACAGGTAGCCCTCACTGTTCATGGCCAGGTAGAGTTTGGTCTGGACGCCCTGAATGGCTACCACTCGCAGACCCACAGGGATGAGGTTGAACATGGCTGTAAAGGAAACAGAGAGAAGGGCGGTCAGAACAGAACAGAAGAATAGAAGAGCACAGGTTACTGTATCTGTAAAAGCTTCCAAAGGTAAATCCTCCAAATGCAATACAGAAAAGTGAACAGCAGCTAAATAATGACCCATTCTAAAAGACCCATTCTGACAATCATCTAATAAACATCTAGATGCCCATGCATATGCATAGTATATGATATATTTTCAATACCTCAGAAGTAAATCTTAGCATTCTTGTTACAAGCATGCTTGCTTCGATTGGCTGCCTAAATTATATTCCCCATGCATGTTATTAATGCAAGAGCTTCTTTAATAGTCTGCAATACTGTTGCAGTCCGTAAATTTACTAATTTCAAGCACCTCTTACTCATTTATGGTTTAGGCCATGTCTATTTTTTTGTTTGTTATTGGTATTAATATTGAAACATTTTTACCATTACCAAGTACTAGTTGTGATACCAAGCTTTTCAAACTGTTTTTAATACAAACAAGCAAATGTTCTTTGTTATTTGTACATATTAAAGACTAATATTTGGTCCTTGTTACAGCTGCAGGCCTGTTACAATTATTACATAATTGCCTAATGCAATTTTTTGAGTTGATTACAATTATTTGAGATAATTGAAATTCCTTAAGCTGACTACAGTCATTTTCCACAGGCATTAGATTTCACAACAATATAAAGCCAAGGCAAAATGTGAACTGGGTGCGTTTGGATGTGACTAAGTAAATGCATGTTTTAAGACACATCGTAGAGCTTACGCAAACAAAAAAATTCTAATTTCTAACTGACTGCTCTAACATATGTAGAGAGCAGTGTGAGCAATGTTTGTTTATTTGTTAGGTATGAAGCCAATTCTAATGTTTTTAGTACGCATGCTGGCAGAATGACTTTTTTTGCATATATTTTCACTCCCTAGAAAAAAACATAAGCTTTGCTTGATTCTGTGTAATTGAGACATTCATGTAAAAGTGTGCATACACAACAGTGTGGTGTATCAATCTGACAATACTACCAGTGGAAGCTACTAAGTATACATGACTAGGAAGCAAAATGGCTAATTAACCAATTAGGCCATTTTAATAAATGCATACAGTGAACAAAAAATACAATGACATTGTTTATTGCAATTATTTCTGTGACAATAAGTCATCAGCTAAAATTTCATGTTCGTGCAGCCCTAGTTACAGTTCTACCTTGGGATCAATGGCATACCCCAGACATTTTATACCACTGTTGTGATGTCATCAGGTTTCAAATATATGCTTTTAATAATAGTTTGGAAAAGAACACTGTGAAATCATCACTGAGACAAAACCTAAATATAAAATATTTAATACATATTTTTAAATATTCCAGTAAAACCTTAATAACCCTTTATACAAAAGACAACACATAATGAACCTGAAAAAATATACCAAAAGTGTTAGTAACTAGCTGTTTAATGCTAACAAAATCTTTTCTGAATTTAAAAACAGCAGTAAAAATGAAACATCATGAAAAAGATGTCCCCACAATGTGGATGTGCAGTGTGTTCCTGTGCAGTGGCGCACGCTTGTTCTTCAGAAATTTTTCCCAGCACGTTTTTTTGGGTTTAATGCAAATGAAAGCTTTTTTGTTCTCAGTCGTACAGTGATCTATTAATAGTCTTTGTGGATTTTGCCCTTCCTTTGAAGGAGAACCGAAGTCAAATGCAGGCAAAAGAACTAAGTCGGCTCTTTGTTGATGTGTGTTCACTCCTTCACGCTTCCACTTTTTCTCTTTCACACACGGCTGAACGGAGTTAGCGAACTGCGCAGGACCTCGGTGTGCCCGGGGCCCCCGCCGGTGCCAAATGGCCTCACACCTTTGTCCCCCTGCCACGCTGTAAGCCAAAAAGCTGACAATCTCTCCCTTTCACACCGTCTCCCTGTGCCAGAGGGAATAGCAGAGCAGCCAGCTAGCCGAGATTGCACTGGCATCCAGAGAACGCGTCTGACTAGCACCAGCTTCTGAGAAAAGAAGACCACATTACCGTGTGTACCCTATCACGGGTTACGTAACGTTCTGTTATTAAGCACAAAGTGAAGAGGAAACTTTGTGTACCACAGTAGGGACTCCAGGAAAAAGAACAGGACCAGCACCCATAACAATACTGGCTTTTCTCTGAAGCATGAAAATCTCTGGTGTAAGTGTACGTCTGTCAGTCTCATGCTAATCCACTAATGCATAAGCCACATAACATCGCTATCATATCAAAAACTTAAAACCCCAGCTGTCCTTTACATTGACGCAGGGCAAACATTTCATAACAAAAATGGTCTAAAATGACTTGAAATAAAATATATTTACGATCAACAGGAAGTACATCTATGCACTAGTCACAGACACAGACCTGACTGTTGGCCAACAAATGTTCCTTTACACCTATGCAGATGCTAATACTGTAAAACAATGACTTTGATAAGAAAATATTTTAAAGCTAAAGAGGGATGGAGGTTATTCCACAAATTACGCTTTCAAATGATCATAAATAGGGATGCACGATGATATCAGAACCGTATCAGTATCAGCAGAAATTTTCTTAAAAATAACTGGCATCAGGCAGATTTCAACCCAATATTTAATTATGTATTTATTATAATCTGGAAGAGTAAAATGTTTAGGTACAACATGATTTAATAAACAAGTAAATAAATAAACCAACAGCCATTTCTGCAATGTGGCAAACCAAGCAAAAGCCAACAGGGTAACCCAAGGGGCCTTTTTATTGGAAAGGCCAGTTTATCGATATCACATGCATATCAAATACAGCTTATAAATATACACCCATCAATGCATAATTCTTACACAATCAATATATACAGTTTTATGCAAAGGTTTGAGCACCCCGGTCAAATGACATTTTGTTGATTTTCTAATTGAAAATAAGTACTCATTCACTACAGAGAACAGACTTTTAATACGCTATGCTTAATGTTTTTTCCAATATGTTAAAATCAGCAAATAAATAGAAATTGGGCACTAAAAATAGCAGAAAATCTCTACATTTCTGTACAGGATTTGTTATAATATATACATATATTGCTGCTGTTGTAACAAAACCTCGCTTTTGTCGTTTCCCAGTTTTTGACATTGTTTGAAAATGCCTGTTGCCCTTTACATTGTGTGTATATTTCAAAATTACTTGGAAAAAAGTCTGATTTCATTGACTTACATTAAAAGTATGTTTTTTCTTTCTCTGTAAAGTTATTATTTTGGATATACAAGGTTTTGTTCCAACAGCAGTGATATGTATTTATACACACACAAAAATAAGCCTCAAAAATAAAGCCTGACTGTTTAAACACACTGAGTTGTCAAGTTGGCTGTCACCTCTCTAGAGTTATTTCTTCCACATCCAATCAGGCTAGTGTTTGCCAGTCAGCTTCTTGTGTTCCTCAATGTGCTATCATAAAGTGCCTCTTCCAACATACTGTACATATAGCAAAGTAGCAGTGTGTACCGGACTCATGACAAGTACACTGTGCCTTTGTGTGTTCCATACAGCAATCTTTCTGAGTATGCTTTGAAGCAGGACTGCTTGTCTCTAAACACTCATCCCGCCTGTGCGTTTCTGTGCACTTCAAAACACCAGGCCCACTTCGCAACACAAGGAACACACAGGACAATGGCTAATCCATTTATGATTAGAACCTCCTTTGCTGGTCGGTGCTTTCTTTTCTTGCTCAGTATTGGATGCATGACGTGGGTGAGACTGAAAAAACAGTGTGCAGCTATATCTGGATGAGAAAAATATTTTTCAGAATTCACATCCTCTGCAACAGTAGCTGATCTGCTGCCTTTGGCCTTCATGCTAACCTCAGCTCTACTTTCTTGGCACTAGCGTCATGCTGCCATGCATTTAAAAATGGAGTAATCAAACACATTCTTTGAGTTATTTGTGTGCGCGCATGTGTACATCTTCATTCAAATATTTTGCTGAGTCCAAGTGCTCATGGAAGTTGTAGACAATTATTCAAAAAGTGAGGCGCACTACAATTTTTTTTCTAGGGGGTTCACACTCCAGCACTTTTCGAAGGCTGTGTGGGGCTGTGATTCTTCCTGTTGCCTATGCAACTGCTAGCAATATCTGACTAGCCAAACGTCTTTCTTGCTATTTAAAGATTACATAATGAAACTACAAGAAACTTCCTTGAAATGTGAAGTGTTGCACTGCTAAGACCATAGATATGTACACGTAGATGCCACATTGGCCGCTGGATCGTGCGTCAACGTCACCGTCATGTTGGTCAAGACAACTTGCCATAATTCTCAGAAGGCTGGACAGGAAAAAGTGCACAGCTAGGGGAATTACCTTTCACAGGTAAGACTGAACAGTTGGTTCTGGTTGTATCTGACCATTATAACATTATGTTCAGGCCGGTGGACAGTAATAGTTAACGTTAGTGATTAACATTTGCCAGCTATGAAAGCTGAGACTTTATAAGAAATAATATGAATTAAATACCCCATAATCGAGATTTTCCTCTATACTGGCATTTCTCCAAACTGACAAGCTACTTGTGTCGGCTAAGTGACTGCATATTATGAATCTGACTAGTTAGCTGGCTAGCTAACTTTTATCACACTTTGAAGGTTTCCCAAAGAGAAAGTAATAAGGATGCTGTCAGAGTTAGCATTAAGAAGAGTAGGTTTTTTTTCATCAGTAAATCAATTATTAGTGCTTAAAGATGCGCCTTCAGTTTTTTCAGTATTTTGTAGTGAAAGAGCTCCTGGGAGCACAAGAAAAGCTATGGGGATGCAGACAAAAAAAATTAAGCTGAAACTGGCTTCATATTCGCCAGGTTCTTATTCTCTTAAATGGCGCTGCAGTTCCATTCTGGCACTGGCACACCATTAAGGTAACTGTAAGGTGAAATGGAAAAGTCAAATAAGAACTTGTTCCATGGGTTTAAACCAATTTTTGCAGTTTTTGCAATTGCTTATGACAATACAGTATTTTCT